GGCCCCCTGGCCTTGATTCTTTTGCCAGTATTTTTTATATTTTTTGAAAAGTTCCTCTGTGGATTTTCAGGTCATTCAGAGAACTTTTTATTTCTTCCCAAAAATAACACCATGGCAGTTCTGCTGAAAACAGCGTCAGTCCGGGTTAGTTTCATTCAAATCATGCAAGTTAGAGTCCAAAACAAGGGCAAAAGTGTTTGGAAAAGTAGATACATTGGAGACGTATCAGGGATCAAATGAAACCGAGGTCGTCAAATCCGTAAACAATCTTTTAGACTTGGAAGCGGAGAGGGCTTCCGAAATTATTCAAAATCTTGCATCTATCAAACCCATGAATGACAATGAAATGAAAAATTTAGGAATGGTTGAACTTGCAAATATATGTTACAATCTTCTGCCTAGTGCGGAGGCCGAGGATGAGGAGGGATCGGAGACTACAGACACGGTAGAGCCTCTCCTGATGGAGGATACATTTTTTGTTTTCGCCAACCCTACTTTACCGCAGGGTGTTGGGGAGAAGCCTAAACAATCCTGGAAGCGGAAAATTTATCCTACTTCGGCAGTACGCATAAGTGCTCGAGTTAAGCTTAAGAAAAAATTTCATGATGACTTATGAAAGGACTCTTTTGGAATAGCAGAGGTCTAGCTGACTTGGCTAAACGAAGGTTCTTAGCGGAGACAACGATAGAACAACACTTAGACTTTATTGAACTTATGGAAACTGGACGAGATGATTTCACCTCATAGTTTCTTCAAACTCTCTCCGGTGGTATCGATTTTGACTGGCACATCTTACCTCCTAGAGGAAGATCTGGCGGGATTTTACTAGGAGTGCGATGTGAGACGCTAGAGGTACTCAATGTGGTTCAGGGAGACTTTTCGATTAAATTCAGGGTGCGGTCAAAACTGGATGAGTTCCGGTGGTCTCTTGTTGCTGTATATGGGGCAGCACAACCTGAATTCAAACCAGATTTTTTGGCCGATTTGGTGCGGATTTGTGGAGATGAAAATCTGCCAATACTAGTCGGGGGAGATTTTAATATCATCAGGAGGAGAGATGAAAAGAACAATGACAATTTTGATGGTCGTTGGTCTATGATGTTTAATATGATTATCGAGAGTCTTAATTTGAGAGAAATAGAACTCACCGGTAGACAATTTTACATGGGCCAACTCGTTATCCACTCCTACTTATGAAAAGCTGGATAGGGTACTGGCTAGTGTGGAGTGGGAACAAAAATATCCATTAGTGTCGGTCCATGCGATGCAGAGAGCGATCTCGGATCACACACCACTTCTTTTAGACTCGGGTGAGGCTACCCATGTGGCAAATAAAAATACTTTCTCTTTCGAACAAAGCTGGTTTGAGCGAGAAGGATTTTTGGAGATCATTGCACGCGAATGGGCTAAGCCGGTTAGTGGAAGGACGCATGTTGAGAGATGGCAAAATAAAATTAGATATCTCCGACAGTTTCTAAGAGGGTGGGCCAGAAATGAGAGTGGGATTTACAAACAAGAAAAAGAGCGTCTTACTCAATTGATTGAAGCACTAGACTTAAAGGCTGAAGCCACTCTTCTTTCTGTTAATGAGCAACGAACCAAGTCCGAGGCTGAGCAAGGTCTACGAGCTCTCTTGAGAGAGGAGAAGCTTAAGTGGGCATTGCGTGCGAAAACGCTTAAGGTTGTCCATGGGGACAACAATACACAATTCTTCCACATGGTTGCAAATGGTAAACATAGGAAGAAGAAAATTATATAGCTTGAACAAGACGAGGGGACAATAATGGGACATGAAAACCTGAAAGCATATATCTCTAATTATTATAAGAAACTTTTTGGACCCCTGAATTCAAGTACAGTGTCACTTCATGAATCTGTGATTGATGATATTCCTCAATTATAGGCAGCAGAGAATGATATTCTCTCTACACCGTTTACTGAAAAATAGGTTCTTCAGGCAATATCACAAATGAAGCCGAATAAAGCACCGGGACCAGATGGGTTTCCAGCTGAATTCTATAAGAAATATTGGCATATCATTAAAGATGATCTTATGCCTATGTTTCACGATTTTTTCATCGGCCATTTAGAGTTATTTCATCTTAACTTTGGTACGATAGCACTGCTACCTAAGAAAGATGAGGCAGTTCGGATCGAATAATTCCGGCCCATATATGCTTGTTGAATGTGAGTTTCAAAATTTTCACAAAGGTTGGAACCAATAGATTGACACAAATTGCTCATTCAGTGATCCAACCAAGTCAGACAACGTTCATGCTGGGGCGACACATACTGGAAGGGGTGGTCATTCTACATGAAACGCTTCATGAGGTCCACTCCAAGAAACTAGATGGGGTTATCTTCAAAGTGGATTTTGAGAACGCGTATGATAAAGTAAAGTGGCCTTTTCTTCCGCAGGCCATGCGAATGAAAGGTTTTAGTGAAGCCTGGTGGAACCAAGTGGATGCCCAAGTCCAGAAGGGTAGTGTCGGAATCAAGGTGAATGATGATATCGGTCACTATTTTCAGACACATAAGGGGTTGAGACAAGGGGATTCCATGTCTCCTCTCTTGTTCAATATTGTTGCAGATATGTTGGCCATCATTATTGGCAGGGCCAAGCAGCATGGCCGTGTAGAGGGTCTAGTTCCTCATCTAGTCGATGGAGGGGTATCCATTCTACAGTATGTTGATGACACTATCCTATTCATGGAACATGACATGGCTAAGGCACGTAATATGAAACTTATCTTGTGTCTCTTCGAACAATTGTCTGGATTAAAAATTAATTTTCATAAGAGCGAGTTGTTCTGCTTTGGGAAGGCCAAAGACGAGGAACACACTTATAGACAATTGTTCGGATGTGAATTAGGTGCTTTACCTTTCAGTTACTTGGGTATTCCGATCCATCACCGTAAGCTATCCAATAAAGAATGAAAGTGTATTGAAGAACGAATTGAAAAAAAAAAACTTAGTTGCTGGAAGGGCAAGCTTATGTCATATGGAGGTCGGCTAGTCCTGATTAACTCAGTACTGACTAGTATGCCGATGTTTCTACTTTCGTTCTTTGAAATTCCGAAACGGGTTCGGAAGCGACTTGATTTCTTTAGATCTTGTTTCTTTTGGCAGTCTGATGAGGCCAAGAGGAAATACCGTCTCGCGCGATGGGATATCCTTTGCCGACCTAAAGACCAAGGGGTCTCGGTATTGAGAACTTAGAAATTAAGAATAAATGTCTTATGAGCAAATGGCTATACAGGTTAGAGACAAAGCCGGAGGGTATGTGGTCTCAAATCCTGCGCAATAGGTATTTGCACTCGAAAACATTAGCCCAGGTTACCATGACACCGACTGACTCGCCATTCTGGAAGGGACTTATGCGAACGAAGGACTTGTTCTTTCGTAGAGTCAAATTCTTGGTTGGCAATGGGATGTCAACAAGATTATGGGAGGATACGTGGTTAGGAGAGACGCACCTGGCTGTCCAATATCCTACCCTCTATAATATTGTGCAACGTAAGGAGGATTACGTAGGCACAGTCCTTCAAACTATTCCCTTGAACATCGAGTTTAGACGAGCGTTAGTTGGTGAGAGATGGACCGCCTGGATGCACTTGGTTCGGAGATTGATAGAAGTTCAACTCTCCGACCAGCCGGATTCAACACAACGGAAGTTAACTAAGAATGGGATGTTTACGGTGAAATCTTTCTGTATGGATTTGATTAATTCTGGCCCACTCTCAAGGTCGTTGCACATTTGGAAGGTTAAGGTTCCCTTGCAAATTAAATTTTTATGTGGTTTGTCCACAAGCAAGTGATACTCACAAAGGACAACTTAATTAAAAGGCGTTGGGTAGGAAGTTCGCGGTGCTGTTTTTGTGATCATGAGAAAACAATACAACGCTTATTTCTTGAATGTCCACTTGCCAAGTTACTTTGGAGAACGATTCATATAGCTTTCAACATTAATCCTCCAGTCGATATTGTGTCATTGTTTGGGACGTGGCTAGCTGGGGTTGAACATATTACTGCGGCTCGTATTCGGATTGGAATATGTGCGTTTTTATGGGCTATATGGAACTGCAGGAATGATATGATTTTTAACAGACAACAAACTTTAACTTTCTTGCGGGTTATCTTCAGAGCTACAACTTGGATCCGTACATGGTCCTTACTCACTCCTATGGCATCCAGGGAGCCTTTGGTTACTGGGTGCAATCAATGGGAGATGGTAGCTCGGGTTATATTCAATCGGTTCGGATGGCACTCGCATAACAGGATAAGAGTCTAGGGAGCTTATCCTTCTTATTACCGTATCGGTTATCTTTGTCAGCATGTAATTTTCCTTTTTTTACTTTGTTCTGCTCCGTTTGCGAGCTGTAAGACTTTTATGACGATACTTTGTGGATTGTTAATAAGATGGCTGCATGCATCTTCATGATGCAGATGCTGGGGGCATGCCTCCATTTCAAAAAAATAGGTACACCGTAAATGGACGGATGGTTATATAGCATCCAAGCACTGTTCGCTAGGTGCGGATTCTTTGCAGTGGATAAAAGCATGCATTCTTCTCAGACTAAAATGTGTGCATATTGATAGGAAGATGAGACCTTCCATAGAATACATTGTTGACATGCTCAATGGACTGGCAAGCTACAGTTGGCCTTTGATCGCTCCAGAGCCTTTGGCATACTCCAGTAGACCTTTGATCATGAAACCTCCAGAGCCTTTGGCATGGTCCAGTAGGCGTCTGATCGTGCAACCTCCAGAGCTCCGCTTCTCTTTTGAGCCAAAAAGGTTGATCTCCTGCTCGTTTTCTCTAACGAAACAGATGGTCATATCGCCTTCATGCTTGTAACGAAAAATCCGAGGATCTACCTTACAAAGCTACCGCTTTACGGTGTTGTGCTGCCAAATTGCATCTACACCATAAATGTGACCATGCATGAGCATAAGAAACAGCAATCAAGAAATGGCGAGTTTCTGCCCGTCCGGAGCAGTACGGCACGTGAGGAGCAACTCACGAATGCCCACCCAGATTCCTTAGCCGGTGATGAGGTGAAAGAGGTGAGGCTGTGTGTTGTTTGTGACCCACAAGAGGGTACAACCTCAAATCAGGCACGTCTCCTTTTGGTTTTGTGCTTTAGATTGGGTGAAAAAACATGTCATATATGTTCACTAATGATGAGTAAATTATCATTCTTAAAATTCCTTATCCAATTTTCCTCTGTTTGTTTTGCGTGACAGTCGATCCAATCAGCAGCAGAGGTATGCTCTTTGTTATTCTTTCTGTTTTGTTTTTTAGTTTGGGAGTTTGTAGTAGCTTATTTAGCATGTAGAGGTGTCATGTAACTTTGTTGTTCGGTGCTCTCTTGGATTAGATCATAGCCAGTCAAAACTATCGGCAGGTGCTGTCTGTGGACGTGCACTCAAACAAACCATGGTGATTACTTCACTTAATTCGTGCGGGCATCGACATATCCTCTCTATGCGCGTTAAAACTTTTCGGGTTGTGCAATATAGGATCTTGACGAGCAACTGGAGGGGTTGCGTTTGCATTTGGAACTACCAGACCAAGGTATTGGTTTGCTGGGTGTGTACTCTGTGTTATTTAGTAGTGTGCCATATCGTGTTGCGCCATAAAACTTTTTTTTTTGGAACTGACCAAATAATCACTTTTGCCATGCAGACAGAGGAGAAGTACTTTGAAGTCAGCGCAGACGAACCAGGCATGCCTTCTCATCGGCTTCCCTATTTACCTTCCTTCACCGTGAACTTGAACATGAAGGCATGACCCACCGCACTGATTCTTAACCTTTCCAACTGCAGTATTTTCGGCAACATTCATTGAGCGAGAGGAATGGCTCGTGGCTGGTGGTGGAGATGGGTACATCTACGTGTACAGATATGACACAATGGAAGAAATCAAGAGCTTCGAAGCTAATGATGGTCGTGACATCAGGTCTTTGGCTACAAGTCCAACTCGCACTTTTTTGCTGTCGGCATCAGACGATCACATGATAAAGATCTGGGACTGGAAGGACAGCTGGAAGTGCATGCGGACGTTTCTAGGCCACGGTAACTGTGTCACGCAAGTAATGTTTGACCTGAACGACAGCAACAGCTTTGCCAGTGCTTCCTTGGATCACACGATCAAGGTTTTATTTTTCCCTTCCTATTTCAACTACTACCAAGTAACTAAATGGTTCTTAAGTCAGAGCTACTTAAGTCTGCAGTGCCTAACTTTTGAGATTTACAGATGTGGGATATTTACTCTACGACGTGCAATGCCACGTTAGACGGACAACCTGATGGTGCGCTCTGCCTTCATTACCTCACAGATAGGAATGAGCAGCGTTTACTTTGTGGATATCTGGATGGTGCTGCAAAGGTACGCATGTGTCAATGCTTCTTCAAAATAGAGTAATGCACTCTGTTTCTATCTGCATGCTAAGTTGTTCTCTTGTTTCATTGTTCGATAAGATCTGGGATCCGGAGAAAGAATGTTGTATTAGTGCGGAGGGAGGGAATGCAAAGAGTGTCAATGCTCTTTGTTGGCACCCCAAACTTCGTGTAGTAATTACAGGTTCACTTGATGGGACAGCACAAATCTGGAAGTCCACTAAAACTGGATACAGGTACTGCTTTCTACTTGTACATATAATTTCATCTGTTCCTGTCGTCTTGTCCTGAATCCTGATAGGAACTTCCATGACGCCTAGAATAATTTTGGTACACCATGTGCATATGTTTGTTTTAAGGAAGATTAAACCTCCCAGCCTCTGCAACATGCATATGCATCCTTATAATGTCGTGTCAACTCGTGTAAATAGTACCAAACCATATAATGCATATGAGCAAAAAATATAAAAGAATAATTGAAGGTGTTTTTCGCGCAATTGCATGGAACAAGTTGGCCAAACAAAACAAAAAGGATAATGTGCTTCACACTGTGAGATAGTAAGACCGCAAGTTCATCCTGAGGATTTGGGATGAATACTTGCTGACTCATACTTGTCTAGTTGGTATATACGTACTGTCCTGTCTAGTTATTCTCTTGTGTTGATTTTCATACAGTTAACTGTGAGTTTTGTAATCTTACAGGCTTGAGAATGTAATTGGTTTCAACCTCGGTGCAGTTAACGCTATTGGATACATACAGGGATTAACAAGGTAATAAGGAGTGCCATAAAGTTACTTTAGTTTCTTCGACGCCCTAAGCAAATTTCTTTAAGCGTGAATGC